TAGACTTACCAAACCGGACCATCCTGGGCTCGCGGAGCCGGATCTAGATGAGAAGGAGTTGGAGAAGTACATCAAAGAGGATGCGGAGTTTTGGGATCTCAGACATGAGACTTACCCAGGAGTGGATGAAGAACTTGTTAGGTTTAAGAATGTTATGGAAATGGGAAATTTCCCAATTTAGACTCTTATGGGCCCTGCACACACCCAAATCACATGATATGTAAATAATTAGAGTTTATCCAATTATTAACCACCTAAACTACCACTTGTGAAAACATCTGTTAAACCATATGTTAAAATATCTGTAAAATCGCATGAGCTCAACCTCTACCCCCTTCCCTCTTCCTGTGCCTCGAACGGACGAAAATGGGCGCCTCCGGCCCCATTTTTGTAACAAAGAATAAGCCTACAGGAGGACCAGAGATTTATGAGTGGAATCCTTATGGCAAGGGATATTTTGTACCATGAAAATCTTTCCCAGTGGTGGCACAAGCTGACAGGAAGCTAAGAGGGAGCATGATTGGCTTAGGGAAGGCTATAGTTGAAATGATACAACCTAAGGGAGAGGTAGTGAAGAGCAAGGGTGGTGAGGACCTTATGATGGCAGGAGTTCGAGACCAGGAGGAATTTGAAATGGTGGGAACTCTGGGCAGAGTTTTAACCTCTGACCCTTTTACTTTAACCCTCGAGTGTAACATGGCAAACTGTGGACAAGGAGTTCAGTGCAGTTCAAACACACATCAGAACGTCAGAAAAGCGGGTTTGAAAGAGAAACCCAAGGAGTCCCAGGAGGCAAAAGATACTCAAGAATGGGTGAGGCCGAATACCAGTGGTGAAGCTGTGGGCTTCAGGAAGGAGAAGACACCTCCTCATCCTAAGCTAGCCTCTTGATGGAAATATTCTCCCTTACCAGAAAATGTACCTAAAGGGCCGAGTGTCAGGGACAGCTCCAAAAGCAGCGAGGTCCCAGTGTGCAGGACTTGGTGGGACAAGTAGCAGCTATGCATAGTGGCAGTCCCGTCACAGGGTGAGCATCCCCGACCACTTAGTCTGAAGTGGGAATGTGAGAAGAAGGCTACTTCTTCAGTTCCCACTCCAGCTGTTATTATATACATGTGGGATCGATCACGTGGGGCACGCCACGTCAACCTCACACACAGCCATGGCTCTCTGGGTGCCTCCATGGGAGATCCCGAGAGGGTCCACTGTGGGTGCAGGGCGAGCACAGTGGTGGTGACGGCGATATAGGGATGGTAAGATACAGGAGGGGGAATGGGCATGCATGCCAGTGATACATTGAACAGCAGGAAAGGTGGTCCATGTAAGAGAGAGAAAGAAAGAAAGAAAGGAGAAAGGAAAGGGAAAGGAGGGAGAAGCGGTGCGGAGCAGGGGTTGGGCAGAGCATGTCGGGGCATGCCCTGACACCCAGAGCAGAAGAAATTGCTAAGTTGGAGAAACAGTTGTGGGAATTAAAGGTTAACCCGAGGACAAGGAGCACTAGAGAAGGGTCTAAGCAGAGTGAGACACATGAAGGAGGAAGTCTTGACTCCGGTAGTGGGATAAAGGTTCAGAAGGAAGGAGAGCCCCTTCATGCTGAACTAGTGTCAGGGGACGACTCCCGGGTCCCCATGACCCTCCCCTATGGTCCACAGCCTACTGGTGTAACCAGCCCTATCCAGGGCACAACCTACTGTGGGTAAGAAGATGAGAAGGAAGCTAACTTCTCATCTTCCCACAGTGGCCACAATATCAGGCAAACTTCTGGGGATACCCAGAAGTCACATGAGGGGGTGGGAACCGAGCCCGGAACATGCAGCACATGGAGCATGTGCGGATGCAGGAAGCACAGCAGGTGGACATGGGTCCGGATCCGGGTCCGGGTCCGGGCTAGTCAGGGTGTGTGCCCTGACAACTAGAGGATGTATCAGAAGAGAAACTTCGACAAGAGGTGTTACAGGAATGGGTTCTGGGGAACCCAACCTGAACCATTTGGCTCACTCATGGAGGTGGCTGCATAGCCATCAGAGGGAGAGCAGAATGGGAAGTGCAACCTGTGGGTTGGCCAACAGTAACTTGGCACTCCTGGGAGCGTACCGGTAGCGAGTATGATGTGGGCTCCTTGAGGGAGCCACCTGGCTGTCTGCTAACGGGGACTTGGCGCTCCTGGGAGCGTGCCGGTAGTGGGTGTGCTGGGAGTGGTCGGCTAGCGGTGACTTGGCACTCAATGGAGCATACCGGTAGCACGGGATACTGGGACTCCCAATGGGAGTCACCCAGTTGGTGGCTATCAGTGACTTGGCACTCATGGGAGCGTACCAGTAGTGGGAGTTGTTTGGGAAAGTGGGCTGGTGGACCAGTGCACGGTAGTGGGTGACCATGGGAAGTGGGACCTGCGGGTGTGTGGCCAGGCATCCTGGAGCTGCCTGGACCATATCCCTCTCCTAAGGAGGTGGGATAGGTTACAGTTCCTGATAGGGAACTTCTGGTTGGATGGGAGTGACCACTCAACCACCTGGTGAGTGGGCAGCAGGAGGTTGGGTGTGGGAATGCCTTCCTCGTTGCGGTTTTGTCATGGAGAGGATGAATAGGGAGGTGGACATGGTTCCAGGGTTACAGGTTGAGTTTACAGTGGTGGCACAATGGTGAGGATGTTACAATCACGGTACAAGGTTTGTGGGTTATGTATTCAATAATGAGAAAAACATCTCGGCAATTACCATACATGTCATATGACTTGTATCTATCTAATACAAATGTTATAATGGCCAAAGGAAGTCCCTTGGAAATCAACAAATCCCCCAGCCAGCACCATTGAAAACCCAGTGGGAAAGCTTGGCATGGGGTTTGGCAGAGAATGAAGTGAGAAGAAGTAAGAAACATCTTACCTGTGTGCCTGGTTGCCTGTCACAGACCATAAGATTCTCCATTTCCATAACAAGAGGTATGGGACATGGCCAAAGGTGCAGAGATTTATGAGGATGAAGATGCAGTGGAGCTCCTCCCTTCGAGACTTTATTACAAGCCCTCTGAAAGCATGGATTGGAGACAACATCAGGGCAGGTGGATTAGTAGGCCGCATCTGGAGGAAGGGGGAGTCCAAGACGAGAGGACTTTTGTTGACATGATACGAGAAGATTTTCAATGGGAAAAAGCAGATGCTGGGAAGAGAAAGGTCAACAAGCTCCAGACCATGGAGAAAAACGAGGTTAGGAGGGCTCTTGAGCACCCTGCCTATTGCCTCTCATCGCTGCAGACTATAAAGTTGTGGATTTGATTACCTGCACCACTGAACGAGTCCAAGAGTTTAAAGAACTAAGGGAACAGACCAACATCTCAAAATCATTTATGAAGACTTGGTCTATGTCAGAGATGGACTGGTTTCTGTCTGAGTCAGGGTCAGATGTTTGGCAGAGGTCTGTTGGAGTGCGCACATGCGGATGTGCGGGCGGAAATATGCGGTGCATCTGGAAGCACTGTTCAAGGTTAGCAGAGTGGGATCGTGGCCTCAGCGACTCAAGTGGAGCGCTGTGCCCTGAGCTTGACGTCTGGGGGAGATCCCTTATGGTGTTGTTGGGACAAGTCCATGCAGGCCAAACTGACACTTATTGCACACTTCACCCCCTACTGCATCAGGGACTAGGATTGGTGAGTCGTGGTAATAGTAGGAGTTGTAGAGACTGTGGAGGTGGTTCTGACGAAACCAAGATCGTCGGATTTGGTGGAGTAGTTGAGGAGATCTGACATTTTCTTTATTTTCTTTACTATTTTCATTCATTCACGCATGTGACTTTCCTTTTATATTTGTATCAGACTCTTCCATGACAACTGTACAGACAGTTAGTTAGAGGTTACACAGAGTATCAGCACCATACTCCCAAGGACCCATACAACCTACCTGAGAGACCTGCCCCCCCCAGACCTGAGTCACGAGTCTAGTTGGGTAGACCCATTACAACAGACTGACACTCACAGCGGACTTCAAACAAGACTTGTGGGTGGAGCGGACCTGTAGGAGGAGTGCAGACTCCATGAGCATGGACTCAGAGGGGGGGAAGCCCCCTCTGCAGAAGGAGGGGCTCAGACCAGAACAGGGGGGGGTACTCTAGTTGATTTCAGACTGAGGTCCCCGAAAGTATTTACAGGATATAAATAGGCAGGAGGGAAACAAAGAAGGGCTGGTCAGTCCGGCACAGTCTGGCACAGAAATGAGTGGGGGTTGTCAAACTGAATAAAGACAAGGGCCCAGGGAATGGGGGGCAATGAACTACAGCAAAAGCAGATCAAGTACCAATATTGACAGGTAATAAGAAGTGCATCAGCACACAGATCAAGAGCCAATATTGGCAAGTTAAGTGAATGAATAGACAAACATATAGGCACTTGGAAAGGAATGAATGGTATGCTGCCGAGTGACAAAAATGGCCAGAGGGGAAAAGTGGAGGTCAGTGTGCAGTGCTGATACAAGTCCACAAATAAGTGGGGTCAGTGCAGCACTGACACAAGTCTGTGAAATGGGATGTGGGAATCAGCACAGCGCTGGTAAGTCCGCAACAGAGGGTGGTCCATCAGTGCTGTCACAAATGAGGACAGCATGATGGCCAGCAAAGGTACGGAGGGGTGTGTTGACCTGACTACAGGGTGTGGAGGTCAACCAGGAGTGGCAGAGGTGCAGAGGGTGTAGAGGTGGGCAGGGGTCCGGATGTGGAAGATATGGAAGATGTAAAATATGCAGAGGATGCAGAGGCAGGGATGTGACACTGAGTTATGCTATAAGCCTAGGAGGAACCAGAGGGACTGGATGCCAGGAGCACCAAAGGCTCGGGAACTGGAAGTGAAGTCAGAATGCTGGCAGGGTCCAGGGTCTGATTTTTGGCAAAGTCTCACTTGATAGGGCAGGGGGCCAGACATCGGATTGAGGGCTGGTTGGATTGGGTTTCAGGTTGGCAGATTTGCCTATCGGCATTGATTCACTGCTGATGGAGCCCTGGGGTTTGTCAGTCATGACAGTCAACCAAGAGGCATTGATTCATCATGTCCATGATCGAATTTCTACACTCTTGGGGGCACTCAAAGGGATGGCCGCTGAAATTCAAATCACCTATGATGAAGCAAGGGTCTGTGAAGAGAAAGCAGTGGACACAGCAAGAGTGATGGAAGTGATGTTTAGGGCCACCCATGAGAACTTGATTTCGGATGATGATTATTACCTCGTTGTCTCTGAATGCGTTCACACTATGAAGAACAGGTTTTTGGAGAGGTATGCTTCCATGGACCAAAGAATTAAAATTTTCATTGGGAATTCTTGAGCATTCTGGGATGCTTGGGGGGAGCTGGCACCCTTGCCAAGGTCACCCTATATGATGCATTACACAGACCATACGTTACAGATGGAGCAGAAGGAACAGGAAATGGGATCGGCAACTCTGGTTAAAGGGGAATTCAAGGAAAAATGGTCAAGGAGCAGGAGAAAATAAGGGCAGAGCTTAAGGAGAGAGTAGCAGCTCAAGGTGCATTGGTGCATGAGGAAGTTGAGGAATCTGAGTTAATGGATTTGGTATCAGAGGAAGCTTCTACTTCCAAGGCACCTGTGCTGAAGAAGAAGAAACTTGTTTTGAAAAATCAGGAAGCCAAAAAGTTGCCCACCCTCAGGAAGAGGAAGAGGGCGAAGGCTTAGCTGAAGAGTTTGAGATCTTAATGGATTTGTAGGAATAGGATGAGGATGGGAATTCATTGCAACCAGGATATATTTATGGGAGGGGAATGCTGTGTTACGAAGTGTAGTATTTGGAATGTGGAATTTGTGATATTGTGAGGGACCACAATGAAGAGCTAGGCCTGTATGTAGGAGTGCATAATGGGTGTGCTCAATTTCATGGAACCTTACACAGCAAAAACATCAAAATTGGGCTCCTGCCCTTGTACATTATTAGGAAAAAGGAATCGTAGGAGGGAGTAATAAGAAAGAAGAAAGCAGGTTTTCGTACAAACCGAAAGAGTCTTTTGCGAAAGAATTCGTGGAGAATTGGTGGAGAAATTCAACCTGAGATGTCCTCATGTGCGAAGTCCATGCACTTGACTGCGACCATGGGAACAAGGTCAAAAGTTGATGGAAGAGGACGATCTTGGGGTCATTAAATCCAGAAAAATTCCCAAAGACTCAGTGTTGAATTTTACCCTAATCGGATCAGTGGTTGTGGAGATATTCTGATTGTCGGGCATGATGGGAGTCATGGGATGATATGAACTGTTTGGATGCTCACATGCAAGCTAGTTTCAATGAAAATATGGGCTAGTCAAATAATATAAATGCTGAAGAAGTCATTGGAGGAGTCTTGGAATTATGGCATTTTATTTGGACCAAGTTTCCTTGTGCATGGATAATTGAGATATGTAAACCGCTTCTGAGAATTCCCGCTCTCAGTTGAATCTCCACCAAATTTCACAAAATCGGTATCGTTAGAAAGCTATGGATAAGGAGAGTCGGATGGAATAAAGGGACAGAGGTTTGACGCAGTGTTGGGAGTGGTATGAGGAAGTTTGTGTTCTCCTTTTCAATTTCTTTTGTTGTTTGGAATTTTATTTTAAGTCAACGGCAGCCGAACCTTACTGCCATTGTTGGTGGAGGCTTAGCTCAGCCAAACCCATATATTTCGGACTCTTTTCACAAATTGTATGTTTGCTGTATGGATATATGCACATAGTGATTGAAACGGAATAGACGATTTCCCCCCCTCCCGCTACTTTTGAAGTCCATGTACTTGGGTGCTGTGAGTGGCCACACGATTGGTAAAGGGCTATTGTGACCTTTAGGGAAATCCACCATGGAAAGAAGATAAGCAAGAGTTACCAGAGTTATATATTTCCCCGAAATTCCTCCCCCCCCCCTCCCCATTGATTGTACGGACCCATTCTTACCACAACACCCTTTCAGCCCCCCCTTTCATTCTTCCCTAGCTTTTGGGGAGTGAGTTGGAGTGCTACCTTCCATTCTCAGGGAGACAGTAGCAGATTTCCTGCTTGCAGTGTGCAGCGATCAGGGGAGCAGGGTTAGGTGTGTAGTGGTACATGGAGAAAAGGGAAGTTGACCATGGAATAGAAATAGAGAGAGAAGGGAAAAGGGGAAAGGAGGGATGAGGGGTGATAGTGAGGGGAGCAGAGTAGGGCAGTGTGGTGTGGGATGCAGCATGGGGTCAGGCAGGGTGTGCCCTGACATAGGCCTTTACAGAACCATTGGTTTGATGGTCCAAGGAATAAGAGTAATGTAGAGGCTGTTAAGCCTCCACAGATCTGTTGTTGTGACAGATCTAGAAATTCCCGGTTTAACAGGAATAAATCAAAAAATTAAAATTTTAAGATAAAATCGTAGAGGTGGTTAGACCTCCACTTGTGAAGGCGATTAGGCCTTCAAATCCCTGATGTACAGGAATTTTAACAATAAAAGTAAAATAAAAGCATAGGGTCGCGAAACCCTACACTCCTCCCTAAACAGCTGTTAGGGAGTGTTGGGGTCAATAAACCCCAGCCCAGTGAAGGCCTCTCCTCCCTAAATGGTTGTTTAGGGAGTGGAAATGAAAATATTACCCATAAAAAATGGGTAAATAAGGAGTTGGGCCAGAAGCGCAAGTGCGCTTATATGGCCCAGTGTTAGTAAGTGCTTAATTGCACTTAAAAATAACAGGGAGACGGCTTATTCAGCCGTCTCCAGCCTCTCACTCTTGAGAGAGAGAGAGGAGTTGCATCTATGATGCAAACTCCGGAAATTGGTGAAGCGGCTTGCGCTTCCAAATGTCAGCTCTCAGTAAAAGCTGGAGAGCTGAACTACTGGTGTGAAACCAGTAGGGAGACGGTCATCTGGGCCGTCTACAACCTCTCATCATGAGAGGAAGAGGTGGGAGCCATCAATTTGACGGCCCAGAAGATGTTAAAGCGCTAATGCGCTTTGGTGAGCTGGCGCTTGGCAGAGGCTGAAAAGCCCTTACTCTAGTGCGAAATCAGTGGGGAGACGGTCGTATAGACCGTCTCTACACACCCAAAATGAGTGTGAGTGAAAGGGATGGGGCAGTTTATTAGACTGTCCCAGAAATCGTCGAAGCGCGATGCACTTCGGTGAGCTGACAAGCAGCAAGGACTGAAAAGTCCTTTGTCTGACTAGTATCCAGTGAGGAAATGGTCATATAGACCATCTGTTGCCTTTCTAGACGAAAGGAATAAGAAAATATGGCCAGTTTGTTCAACTGGCCCAGAAGTCGCCAAAGCGCTTTGCGCTTTGGTGAGCTGGCACTCAGCAAATGCTGAGGTGCCGTCGATCCGGTGTAAACCGGTTGGGAGATGGTCGTATAGACCATTTCTAACCTCTCAGTATGAGAGGAAGTGAGGACAAGTGGGCAGTGGGGCCCACTTGGTGTCCAAGCGCCGATGAAATTCGCGCAAGTCTTTCGCGGTCATTAAGGCTGCGAAAGTAGGTTTAAACCGCAATTTTTAGCGGTTTGAGAAGTCATATCAAGGTTGCTTTTGCGGCCTTGATCGATGGGAAACCCGGCATAGTCGGGTATGAAAGAAGTCTGGCACGATCCACGCGTCAGCAAGTTATGAAAACTTCCCAGCACAAGCTGGGATGCTAGTCTGCTAGCGCCAGGCTAGCAGAGAGAGTCTGAGAGATTCTGAGAAGCTAAGGAGCTTCTCAGAATGAGAGATTGCTGCTAATCAACAGCAGCAGCGGCAGCGCAGACTGGAGACAGTCTGCGCGATCTCCCCATTCCAAGGGGAAAACGGATCATAACTTGATCCAGTCTTTGTAGTCGCAGTCTCCCTGCAGATTTGAAGGGAGTTGATCGGCTATTTCAGCCGATCTCGAGTGATGTAGCCCAGTATTTCTACTGGGCTTAAGAAAGATCGCACTTGCCAGAATGGCAAGCGCTGAGTTCTCCAGGAACTCAATCTCCCTCTGGGGTTCTGGGGAAGGGAGCCCAATGGGTGGGAGAGAGGATCGGGTCGGGTCTGGGACAGGTCCAGACCCGGGAATGATGGTATGAGCCTGTGACGGCTCAGGACTCGCTGAAGCGCTGCGCACTTCTGCGAGATCGCAGTCCACAGGTGCTGGACTGTTCTCAACCTGGTCTAAAACCGGCTGAGGATGGCATTGGATCGGGTCTGGGACGGTTCCAGACCCGGAAATGGCAGTATGAGCCTGTAATGGCTCAGGACTCGCTGAAGCGCTGCACACTTCTGTGAGTTTGCAGTCCGCAGGTGCCGGACTGCTCTCAACCTGGCATGGGACTGGTTGAGGGGGAATGGGCTGGGGCTGGGACAGCTCCAAAGGAACTGGCGCGTTTTGGGATGCACGCTTTTCAGCACACATGCGCGAACAATGGGTTTGTTGTTCTTTGAGTGCAGTGAGCCTGCACTCGATGCTATCCTCGAGCCTGGCTTGAGATTCCAGCAGCTGTTCTAGCTGCTGGTTTAGCTGCTGTCCCATTTGAATCATCATCAACTCCAGGGATCAAGTTGATGGCATTTCGGGCGCATTAGGGGGATCAACAGGCCCTATTGAATGATGCGCCGGAAATCCTGATCTGATTAAGATCAGGTTGACTAATGCTGGTGTCACCAGCATTAGAGGCCATGGAGCCATATGTGTTTTCACACATAGAGTCGGCTCTTTGCAGAGCTGGGGGAAAACTTGTTACCCTTCTAGGCTCCTGTCAGGGACAGCTCCGAAAGCGGCGAGGTCCCTGCACGCGGGACTCGGTGGGACGAGTAGCAGCTGTGCGTAGTGGCAATCCCGTCGCGGGGTGAGCGTCCCCGACCACTTAGTCTGAAGTGGGAAGTTGAGATTATCATTAAAGGGGAAAGCTACAGTACTTACCTGAAGTGGGAAGTTGAGAAGAAGGCTGCTTCTTCTGTTCCCACCCCAGGCACTATTATATACATGCAGCTAGGGTCACATGGAGGAAGCCATGTCATCTCCGCACACAGCCACACCTCCCTGGGTGTCTCCGTGGAAGATCCCGGAGGTGGCCGCTCAGTAGGTGGGAGTGTGCACAGCACATGCGGCGATCGGGGAGGCAGGGTTAGGTATGTAGTGGTACATAGAGAAAGGGAAATTGACCGTAGAATAGAAATTGAAATAGAGATAGAGAGGAAGGGGAAAGTGGAGGAGGAGAGACGGGGAGTGATAGCGGGGTAGTGTGGTACGGTGCAGGGTGTGGCACGGGGTCGGGCAGGCGTGCCCTGACAGCTCCATGTCTAGAAGGCAAGTTGTGGGTGGTGGGTGATTTGAACTAAATACACACAAAAATGCATGTCAAGTGTTGCAAATAACTCAAGAAGTTAAAAAAAGTGTAAAGGGTTGGTGTAGGTGCCAACCCTGGTTAGCCTAGTTCCTCAGGCTGCCAACAAAAGTAACTTGTATGAAGTTATTATTTGCAACAGTATGGGAGGAAAGGCTAAGTTGCTCTTTCTACTTTCCCACACTATTGTATGTACTTTGTATATACATGTTTATTACAAGACAATTATACAATTATGTAATGGGAAATAAGGGGTGGGGCTACCACTCCTTACAGGAGATGAGAAGGAAGCTAACTTCTCATCTTCCCACAGTGGCCACCATATCAGGAAAACTTCCAGGAACATCTGGAAGTCACATGAAGGAAGAGACCCAGGGCCCAGGGCAAGCAGTGCACAGAGCATGCAGTGCAGAGTGCACACAGGAAGTGCAGCAGCTGGGTCTGGGTCTGGATGCAGGTCCAGGCTAGGTCAGGGTGTGTGCCCTGACAGTTTTTCAGTGCTAGGGGTAGTCCCATGTGGCTTCTCCTGGCTCTGCAGTCCTTGTGTGAACTTTCATGTTCCCCTTTGCTGTTAGAACCAGGTGAGAGCAGTGTAATGGGTCTATTGCCTAGACTCAAGACAGAGAGAAGGGGGAGGGTGGTAGTGTGTGCAGGTGTACCCAAAGGGGAGGGATGACAATGAAGGGCTGACTCTCCTCCAACCTGCCTGGTTCAAAGCTCGTGCGACAGAGGCAGTCTTGGTGGAGGGTGAAGAGGTGGGTATCCTGGGGAGAATACGTGAAGCGAAAGACCATGATGAGAGGATGGTAAAGGCCATGCAGGAGCTAGGAGAAGGTGGATGAGTGGGAGAAGCAAGGTGACCTAGTCCTGTACTGGGGAAGGGTGTATGTCGCAAAAGACCCCCAACTCCACCACGATCTGGTACAGCTACACCATGACTCACAGGTGATGGGGCACCCAGGGCTATGGAAAACCCTGGAACTCATCTCCCATGACTACTGGTGGCCTGTCAGGGCATGCTGCGCCATACTGCACCACACCCCTCTCCACCCTCTCTTTCTCCCTCTCTCTCCTTCCTCCTTTCCTTCTTTCTCTTCTCTCTATCCTTATATGGACAACCCCTCCCTTTTCCATATTTGTAGCATGGACACGTCCAACACTGAGCACCCTGCATGGGTGCTGCAATGCCAAGCATGCTGCATGTCCCTACTTGTATTTCTCCTCTCTACACCTGGGATAGACCACAGAGTTGCCCACGGCAACCCAGCTTCGTCCGAGGTCGATGTGGCACCTCCACCTGACCCATTTTCACATGTATATAAACCTAGCCAAAGCAGGACCGAAGAAGCAGCCTTCTTCTCATTCCCACTTCAGCCTAAGAAGCCGCACAGGGACACAGGCCCGAGTGAGGGCTACCCACAATACGGCCTTACTGCCCCACCACCATCTGGGCCACTAACGCTGAGCGTCACGCCGCTACCCCCACCTCTTCAGAGCCGTCCCTGACATGGCCCCGGATGGCAGAGTACATTGGGTGATACGTATGTGGGTGTGATACCTGCAATCGCATCAAGTCCTTCCCCTCATGAAAGGTCAGGAAGCTCACCCCAAACAAGGTCCCCACCCATCATTGGCAGATCATCTCAGTAGATATGATAGGAGAACTCCCAGAGTCAAAGGGATACAATGCCATCTTGGTCATAGTGGACCATCTGTCCAAATGCATCCATGCAGTCCCCACCATGATGACTGTGGATTCAGAGGGTATCATGTGACTCTTCCTGGAGCACATCTGGAGACACCACAGGCTCTCCAAGGAAATCCTCAGCAACAGGGGGAGTGCCTTTGTCTCCCACTTCTTGAAAGAGCTTGCAGACCTCCTAGGCATCAAGTTGACCCCTTTGACGCCCTACCACCCCCAGATGGATGGACAGATGGAGTGGGTCAATCAGGAGATTGAGGCCTATCTCTGGGTGTTCATCAACCACCATCAGGACAATTGGGCGGACTGGCTCCCACCAGTGGAATTTTCCTACAACAACCACATCCACTCCTCCACCCACCAAACCCCCTTCAAACTCAACACTGGCCAACACCCTAGGATGGGGACAGAACCCACACACACATCCGAGGTGGAAGCCGCTGATGCATTCTCATCAAGGATGATGAAAATGCAGGAGGAGGCAAAGGCAGCACTAGAGCATGCAGCAGACTATAGAGAAAACCAAGTTGAGGGTGGCTGGACGAGAATATGGTGGACTCTTAATTAGGAAGGTATTGTCACAAAACAATAGTAAATACATGCTTCAAGGTTGTTCCTCCATCACAAACGAGATGGCCCATTACTATGACCAGGACCATGACCCAGCCCCAAAGTATCAGGAACATGACCAAGTCTGGCTCAATGCCCAAAACTACATGACCAACTGCCTGACCAAAAAACTGGACCACAAATGGCTTGGCCCCTTCAGAATCACTAAAATTATCTCCCCAGCTGCCATCAAGCTCCAGCTTACCACTCGACAGAAGGGAATCCACCTGGTCATGTCCATGATGAACATTTGGCCATACCACCCAGATGGCATTGCAGAGCAACCTGCTGACCCATGCCCAGGCCCAGAACTTGTAGAAGGAGAAGAAGAGTATGAGGTCGAGAGGATACTGAACTCTAAGTGGTTATGCCAGAAACTCTGGTATCTGGTAAAGTTCACTGGCTGGCCGAACTCTGAGAACCAATGGCTCCAGCGAGACCACTTAGCCCATGCCCATGACTGGATCGAGGAATTCCACAGGGTGCACCCCCAAGCTCCAGGGAGAGAGAGGGAGAACCACCTGGCCACTTCAAGGCAAAGCAGCTTAAGGACAGGGTGATGTCAGGGCACACCCGGCTGACCCGGCTCCACCTGGCCCCACCTGACCCAGTACCCCACTATCCACCCCTTGTCTCATTTCTGTTTCCTCACTTTCTTCCTATTTCTACTTCCTCTTTATCTCTTTATTCTACATGGATGACCTTCCTTTGTATCAATGTACCATTGACCCATCTGCAGTGTGCCCATGACACACCTGGCCTAGGCACCTCAGGTGACTTCCCATTGTGCCCAGCACGCACGCTCACACCAGATGCCCTCAGGATCTCCCATGGAGACACCCAGGTGGTTACAGCTGTGTGCAAGGGTGATGTGGCATCTGTCATGTGACCCAAGCTGCATGTATATAAATGCACCTGAAGTGGGAACCAAAGAAGTAGCCTTCTTCTCGACTTTCCACTTCAGTCTAAGTGGCTGGGGACTACTGTCCTGTATCAGGCTTGTCAGTACACATGCCAGACTCTCAGCACTGGACACTATGCCCAGGCCTCCTTGACCCTGGACAAGTCCCTGACATGTCCACATCATGACCAGACCTCCACTACCAGACCTCCACCTCCTCAGACCCCTTGTTCAAAGGAGATGGACCTGCTTGTTGTTGATAAACCTCAACTTGCCTATCCACCCTCCTTCTTACTTCTGGTCTCCACACCTCTGGTACCTCTGGTACCTCCCCATTCCTACCTTACCTCCGGTCTTGATAATCTTTATTGTTTTATCATTTGATATTTTCTGCAACCCCAATCTTCCGGACCACAACTTCCAGGCTCCAGACCTTTCCAGACATCTTCCTCTGTAGTCCCCTGCTTATTCTTAGATGGTTCCAGGTCTTGCCATTCAGTTGGCCTTTAATTCTCCCACTCCACAAACCTCAGATGCAATTCAGGCTTTTTGCCTATTCCTTATTTGTCCTGTGGATTCTTTCTATTTACTTCTCCTTCCCCTTGGTAACCTTTGTTTACCTCCAGATCCAAATTGTTCTGATATATGTATGCACATACCCCTCCAGTAAATAGTTCCCCCCAGTTATAATATAAAAAGTCTTAAGTCCTTGAATCCAAACCTCCTCCAGGACATCTATTGCATCCCACTCATCTGCTGCTCTACCCTGAACTAAGAACTGAGTAACAGGTGTGCCTAAAGGCACCTTGGTATAAAACCCAAACAAATCACGTGACAAACGATTGACCCTCGCTAACACCTCCATTGTTAAGTAGTGAGGGGGGCCTCAGTTCCTCCGTTGCCAGCTCCCCTGACAAAAACGAGAACATAATGGGTGCAGCACTCCATTCCAAGTTGCTGAAGCCAAGTCCCTTCAACACCCC